AGAGAGATAGTTAGAAACATCGATGAGAGAGAAACATCGACCAGCTGCCTCCTGCACACTCCCCACTGGGGATTGTGCCCGCAACCCAGGTACATGCCCTTGACCGGAATCGAACCTGGGACCCTTCAGTCCGCAGGCCAACGCTCTATCCACTGAGCCAAACCGGTTTCGGCTGAAGTTTTACTTTAATCAAACCAATTTGGTCCTTTCTTATAGTCTTTTCATTAGTCATACTTTTTCTTTAAACATTTAAAGACATTTTATATTTTGTACTTTCAACTTCTGTCTTTGCTGTTCAGATTGTTACCTGTTGTTCCTAATGTTCCCTCTTGCTGGTGGTGGTTTCTCTCCTTGTGTGCTGGTGTTGCATTGTGAACACAGTCCTTGAGATTTTATGTGAAGGAACTCCTGCAGGCCTGGGTTTCCAGTACAGTCCTAAGAGAGAACTGCATTTGCTCCTGCAGGGTGCCTGGAGTCACTACCAACCCCAGACCACTCTGAATGACCAGGTTGAATATTTTTCCAGCCCAAATGTGTAGTATGAATTCTAGACCCAAATAGTATTGGGAGCCAGCTGTGCTGACATGACTGGGAATGCAATTTTTGTCCCCATCTCCTACCCCCCCTTGTATCCAAAACAAAAGCTAAGTAGGTGAGTTGTGGGATTGGTTCACTCTCGGATCTGCTTTTGGGGCTCTGATCTGACTTCTCACTTTGTAGGAGCCTTAGATTTTGGCCCCTAAGACAGTAATTCCTAAGACAGTAATTTTAGCCCCACCCCCATCCCCCTACACACACACACAAAGCAGATGAGCGACAGGAATGTTTATTAACTGGCTCTTACATAAAGTCCCAGTCCTGGAAGCCGTCAAGACTCCATGGCCTTCGCTAACCTAAGGTGACTGACCCTTTTTCCCTCTGTCAGAATTACTGATTTCACAGGGGCTGGGAATGTTCAGCCTGCGGGCAATAGAAGGCCCATGGCATCACTTGTTCTGGCCCTGCCAAGGCATTAGGGGTGAGGTCATTAAATGTTTGTCAAATATGGCCGCTAATTTTTAAACTGATGATATTGTATGGCCCATGAATGGTGTTAGAAATATACAAATGGCCCTTGGCAGAAAAAAGGTTCCTATCCCCGGTGTAAGGCAAGGATGGGAGGACACGAGCACATGATGAGCCAGATCCAAGCAGGAGTGTGGGATGGCGAAGACTGGCTGTTCCTGTCCACCCCGGGGCAGCCCAAGAACCCTTTAGTCACTGCTGAGCCAATCTAGTTCAAGGGCAGCTGTGACCCTTGTCCTTGAAGAGGAAAGACCCAGAATAGGCCAAGCCCCAGTCTGTCCCCACAGACCCAGTTCTCACAGGGCAGTGGCAGAGATGAGGTCAGTTCCTATTAGTCCTTATTCGAAGGGAGGTGTCGCCTGTCTTTGCCTGCGTTTCGGCGCCTTTTTCGACTCAAGAAGCTGTCTAGCTTCTTGCTGCGTTTCAGCTCCTTGAACTTCTCAGCTAGGACCAGCTGGCGCTGTTCAGCTAGAGGATTGGGAGAAAGCAAGCTGGTCAGCAAAAGCAGAGCACCGCCCTTTCCCTGTTCCCCAGTGAGTAATTCTCAACCACTCTGCTGGGAAACATGACTTAAGAGTTCATGGTGTGTGCAAGCAAGCTGTCTTTTTCTATGGTTCCTTCTTTCACAACTCAACCACTGTGAGCTTCTATGTCCCCAGTCCAGCATATGCGGGGAGTACAACAGAGATAAAAGCGACACCCTGCCCTGGCCACGTAGCTCAGTTGGTTACATGGTCATTCAGATATGCCAAGGTTGTGGGTTTGATCCCTGGTAAGGGCACATACAAGAAACAAGCAATGAATGCATAAATAAATGGAACAACAAATGGATGTTTCTTTCTCCCACTCCTCTCTCTCTGAAAAATCAAAAAACAAACAAACAAAAAACCATACGGTGTCATATCATTAAAAATAAAATAAATAGAAGCAACACCCCCTGCCGATAATCTGATTAGGGAAATAAGAATGGGTACCTCCTCCCCACAGTATTTCTACTCTCCTAATTTACCATGGGACCCAGCACTCACGCCTCCTTTAGGGCCTGCGACCCCCGACTCCTGTACCCAGCCTGTAACAGCTGTGCCCACTCACATTTCTTCAGGAAGTAGGGACGATGGCCCTGCTGGGCCTGCGCCCGCCGCTCCTGCTTCAGAGCCAGGCGCAGCTCCTGCTGCCGCTTCCGCTCCTGCTGTGCCATTTCTTGCTGCTCCTGAGGAGCAGAGATGAGATGGGTGTGAGGGACTGTGATCTACCCCCTGCCTCGAACTACTTCACCCGCACCCACGATCTGACTCACCATTCGCTGAAGCAGCTGCTGCAGCTTCTCATGCTTCTCCCCTGAACGGTGCTTCTTCAACTGCTTTTTCACGAGCTCCACAGCGGGAAATGATGTGATGGTTAGCATGCTGAAAATGTGAGCTGCAATTCTGTGCCAGGCATTACTCTAAAACAGTGGTTCTCAACCTTCTGGCCCTTTAAAATCAGTTCCTCATGTTGTGACCCAACCATAAAATTATTTTCGTTGCTACTTCATAACTGTAATGTTGCTACTGTTACGAATCGTCATGTAAATATCTGATATGCAGTATGCTCTTGGGCGACCCCTGTGAAAGGGGCGTTTGACCGCCAAAGGGGTCGCGACCCACAGGTTGAGAACCGCTGCTCTAAGAGGTTCGCACGTTAACTCAGTAACACTATGAGATAGGAGTTATTAGTTCTTTTTATGATGAGAAAACTGAAGCAAAGCCAAGTTGAATAACTTGCCAATGGTAAGCTAGTGAACTGGTGAGCCAGGATTTGAATATAAGCACCTAATTAGGGAGAATTAAATCTGCCCATCACTACGCTCCCAGTTCCCTCTGCCTGACTCTAACCTGTGCCCTAGTTTCCCAACCCCAGACACCAGTGACCCAGCCGCATGCAGCACACCTCTTTCTCTTTGGCTCGGATGTCGTTCAGGAACTGATACGTTTTGTCAAACACTTCAGGATTATATTCCCCTGACAAATCGTCAAAGCGGGGGTCCCGGGCTACCTTTGGAGAGAACGGAGAGAATATGAAAATACAGTTCTGTCTCCTTTCACAAGAAAGCACTTCCTGCCTCTTTCTCACCTTCTTACTGATGGGGACAACTTGACGCAAAAATGGCACCCGGACCTTGGCTGACATTTCCAGAGGCCTATGGAGAAATGACAGGACAGGTCCAGGGGACTCCAGTCTTGGCCAAAGGCCTCCCCCATGCCACCTAAGACAGCAGACACCGACTCAAGGTCCCAGACATCCTCCAACTCCTGGGGCAGGCCTTGCTCCTCACCTGTGCTTATCTGCAACACAGGCATTTTGGACAGGGGGTCTAGAGCCTTGCTTCTTAGTGCTGCTTCCAGCTACCAATTGTTTGTATGCCTTAGTCCCCGCTTGGCTCTGCAATTCCAACAGCTCCTCAAAGGACATGTTAGATGTGTCTGCAGAAGGAGGTGAAGATAGGGGACACACACAATTGAGCTCAGCATTTCCCGCTGCTGGAAAGATATCATTCCATTCTCATTCTTTTTTTTTCTTCTCAATTGCATATCTTTCTTTTCTTTTCTTTTTTAAAAAGATTTTATTGATTTTTTACAGAGAGAAGAAGGGAGAGGGATAGAGAGTTAGAAACATCGATGAGAGAGAAACATCGATCAGCTGCCTCTTGCACGCCCCCTACTGGGGATGTGCCAGCAACCAAGGTACATGCCCTTGACCGGAATCGAACCGGGGACCCTTCAGTCCACAGGCCGACGCTCTATCCACTGAGCCAAACCGGTTCGGCTCCATTCTCATTCTTAAGGTAACTGATCCTTTCCAATACCCCATCCAACCAATCCCTACAGGTCCTGGGCAGCACAGGCTGTCATGGTGCTTCATCTAAGTTCCCAACGGTTCCAGCTACCTTGGGGCCTCACCTTGCTAAGGAAGGTGTGTATGTAAGGCCAGCGGTGGACCAAGTCACAGTCCCTTTCTTTTAAATTACTCCTTCACAGGTTTCCCCAGAAGGGCCTGTCTGCCTTGCGCAGTTACTGTGGCCAATGTTCCGGTTCATCCTCTCAGCACCTCACCTGAATCAGTGCCCTAGTCTCCTAACTGGTCTCCCAACCTCCAGTCTTACTCCTCTCAAAGTTATGCTCCCCACTTCAGTTTGAGAGAGACATCTAAAATGTAACTCTGGCCCTGGCCGGTTTGGCTCAGTGGATAGAGCGTTGGCCTTCGGACTGAAGGGTCCCGGGTTCGGTTCCGGCCAAGGGCACGTGCCAGGGTTGCGGACTCGATCCCCAGTGGGGGGCATGCGGGAAGCAGCTGATCAATGATTCTCTCTCATCATTGATATTTCTATCTCTCTCCCTTTCCCTTCCTCTCGGAAATCAATAAAGAAATATATTTAAAAAAAATAAAAAATAAATAAAATGTAACTGCTCTTATCACTCCAACCTCATTGCCTACTCCCAGATAGATAGACTTCAGATCATGTCACTCCAGAACTCAAAACTCCCCAGTGCCTCCCATCTTTGCTCAGTCAAGGTGGCTGGAAGCCCCAGGTGACCTAGCCCCCAGGCTGTGTCTAATCTCATTTCCTACCAATCTCTTCCTTCCACTCCTGTCAGCAGGCCTCCTGGCAGTCCCTGAGCAGGAAGGTGTTCCTTGCACTTGGTGCTGCCTCTGCTTGGAGCACTTTCCTCAGGTACATTTATTACTTCTCCGGCACCTCCTTCAACCACGGCTCAGATGGCACCTACTCCCGGAGGCCTCCTCTGATTACTTATAATTGCAACCCCTCCCCTGCTTTCTCTCCATAACCTTGTCACCTTCTTGGGAAACAGATATAATTCATAAGCCATAAAATTCACCCTTTTACAATATACAATTCTGCTTTGCTGCCTTTTAATAGATTAATTCACATGTCCTTTTTTTAACAGCCCTTTCTAAATGGTAAGTTCCACAAGTGCAGTTTTGGGCTGTTTATTCACTATTGCATCTCCAGCATCTAGAACTGTGCGTGCATACAGATACTCAATAAATGCCTATATATGTATATATACACACATATATGTATACATATATGTATACATGTATATGTATATGTATATGTGTGTGTGTGTATGTGTATATATATTTTATATATATATATATAAAATTGATTTCAGAAAGGAAGGGAGAGGGAGCGAGAGATAGAAACACATGATGAGAATCACTGATCCGCGGCCTCCTGCACGCCCCCTGCTAGGAGTGGAGCCGGCAACCAGGCACCTGCCCTTCACTGGAATCGAGCCGGGACCCCAGTCCGCAGGCCGACGCTGTCCCCTGAGCCAAACCGGCCGGGGCTGCCCAATCTCCTTCATCCTGACCTGCTGAGTCCTTCCCCAGCCCCCCAGCCCTGGCCTCAGCGCGCTCCCACAGGCGTCTTCGCCCCGGGGAAATCTCCATCCTCCAAGAAACCGCTCAGATGTCCCAGCCCAGGACGCACCCCCTCCCCACTTCCCAGGGCGC